TAATGTCAGTGAGGGAGCATCGTTTCGTAACTAGGCAGATTGTGAGACTGAGAAGAGAAAAGACGCTGAGTGAGGTAGACAGCTACCTTCCTTAACAATTTAGTCACTAGCCGCATAGCCATGATGTAATTTCACATGGACTCAGTGACATCTTTCTATTTTGTTGTGAAGTAACTTTCGTTGTTTCCAAATAAGTACTTTTCGGTGTTTTAAATTATTATTGGAGCCCACGGGAACGATGTGGGAAAGCAGTTAACACCTTGAACCCAGAGTGACGTCACGGGGTGGCATCGTTGGCATTTTCCAGAAAAACGTGGCCACTGCTTGCCCCACGTGCACGTGAGGTTCAATTGTTAAAACTACATTAAAATACAAAATTTGAAATTTGAACAAATGGCTTTTAATGTGAAAACCACAAACTTTGACAAAAAAAAATTATGTCATGCACCGCACGCTCGCGACGCTCGTACAGGTTTGCCTCATTTTGAACCACGCGTGCATGCGGTCTATCTATCTAGTCTATCAAGGAAAATTGACAGAGTGATTCAGCCAAAACTTTCGACTTCGGACAAAACTACCATTGTACGATGGTGCCACGCGTTTCCAAGGATTTCACAATCGCTCAAAGCGTGTACGGTAGATTATTACCAAGGTTTGGAATCAATAATTTGGTTTTCAGGTCTGTAGCCGCAACATCCAAATTAATACCAGATTCTAGGAAGTATTTTGATCATTTTGATGCGGAGAACACGATGAGAGTTGGAAAAAAGTAAGTGATCCTAGGATTGAAACACCAAGAATTACATTAGGAAGACTTATAAGAAGAAAGACTGCAAGTAGTTTTCAGATGCAGAATGTAAATGCACGTAGAAAAACTATCCGCAGGAATTAAAAAACCCCGCCCAAATTCTTTCAAAATCGTGCATGCTCCTGAACCCCCCTTGTGTTCTACCTAAACTGATGACGTCAGGACTCCTACTAACCTCTCTTTCTTCCCCAAGGCAGACCTGGTGCTGTTGTCAACAAAGACAGCACTGTCGTCTGCTGTGCCATGAGGGGTAGATTAGCTAGATCGTCACCGCAACGAACGTCAAAAGTAACGCAGTCATGGATGTGAACATGGAGTCAGCAAATGCAACTAATGTATCTCGCGATGCTGTTTTGAAAATAATGGATCAGAAAGACAAAATTGAAAAAGAAATTGCCGCTTTAATGGAAGTTTTGGCATCGGTAAGTGCTTTTATTTTTCTAATGTTGAGGTTAATAACCCTTGTGACTTTAATTCATTGTATCTTCTCGAAATGCCCCTATTTCTAGCTATAATATTCAATATTTTCTTTCAAAATTTCTCGTCCCAATCACTTTACTAACATGAAATTTGGAACTCCTCTGGGGGCCCAATGTTCATAAGTAGAATTCAAAAAGCTGAGATATTTTCTAGGCTGGACTCTTCGACCGATTGTTTTCTTTTATTTGTTAATATTACAGAATCGTGTTGGTCTTTACGACTCTTTGGTTGATGAAGAGGGATACCCACGTCAAGATATAGATGTCTACCAAGTCAGACATGCTCGTCATCGAATTATTTGTATGTTCAGCTTCCTTGTTCTGTCTCACACTATCACACATTAAATGGTGCCACAAATGTTTACTGTAAATAAATTTAAATTGATCTTTGTTGCAGGTCTTCAAAATGACCACAAAGCCCTCATGAAAGAAATTGAAAATGGACTATATGCTCTCCATTCTGGTGGAGGTCTTAACCAATCTGATGATCCAATGGATGAGAGTTCAAAGCCAAGTGGGGACCCCATTGCAGTTGTTAATAAAGTGACTCCTGGATCACCAGCTTCAATAGCAGTCAGTATTGATTAGTGTTGAATGAATTCACAATTTCTTTGTACTCCATTGTATGTTGCTAAAATTTTTCTTCTGTTCCAGGGGTTGGAGGTTCACGACAAGATAATTGAATTTGGTTCAGTAAAAGGCTCCAATTTCCAGTCCCTTCTTAATATTAGTTTTGTAGCAGAGAGCTGCATTAACCGTTCTGTACCAGTTGTAGTTTTAAGAGACAAACGCGTCGTTCGTCTTTCAATTATTCCCAAACCATGGATGGGTCCAGGATTATTAGGATGCAATATTGTTCTCCCTGAAAATGTTGATAGGTAAGCATTGGTGCACCATGTCAAAGGGCAACATGTATTAATGTTTTAAAATTAATAGGATCATATTGCTCTCTTTTCTTTTTGAACTGGAATGGAAACTATTTCCTAGGGGTTATGGATACAAATATTCAATTACAATTATATTTTAATTCATACTTAACACATCTACATTCTATAAAAATATACTTTGTTATACCCAATGTGTGTTTTTGGCACATAAATAGACTGTAAAAAATTCAAAACAAAAAAATATATATAAGGTTAAGAAAATCCTTCTTTTAAATACTTCTGTACTAAAACTATACAGGCTCATTCAGTTCACATCAGATAAAATAATAATATATTAAATTTCAGAGCAGTTTAATTAAAACAATCTGATGAGTAGTCATGATACAGTTACTGCCAACCGTTTTCAAGAAATGTTACAGTACAGAAATGTATATTTTTGATATTATTAATGAAACCTACCCTGGATCTTCAACTTTAAAATTTCATTCAAAAAATAGTGTAGAAAACTAGATAAATAGATAGCCTGTTTTCTAGATGATCCTTTCACAGCCCAATTGCAACAGGAAATGTGGACAGTTATTGAGAGAGTCCAAAAACTTTCAATGCACTGAAAGCTGTAGCAAATGCTACTTCTTCTGGTTTTTTCTTGATAAGAACAGAAATCATTTCAACAATTGCTGGTAAGGAGCATGGCTCATTTCGTTGAAAGGTACAGTAACGATTCAGAAACAGCAATGACCTGTAAAATTATTGTATTGTACAGTAAATGAAAATTCAAGTCAATTTGCAAATTAGTACAATGTGCTAGTAGTTGTATTACCTTTCAGTAAGAGATTCCTTGACTGCAGGTGGAAGTTTGGAGGCACGTATATTAGGGAACATGAAAGGTGAATCTGTCTCAACCAGAATCTTATCCATTGTGAGAATGTCTTGTTCTAGTAGGCGGCGCATTCCATCATCAGATTTATCCTTGCAAAGACTGCCTGCAACACACATTGGCAATTTTTAAAATTAACAGTGATATATTTGGTTTTCCATGTGCTTCTTAGCCCAGCTACTTTACCTGACAAGGTAAAATAAAATCCTCTATTTAGGAAGCTTTCTGCCTCTTTCTGTGAGCCAGAAAAACCTCGCAAAACACAAACTGGAAGATTTGACATATATTTATCAATCACAGATAGGAAATCAGCATGAGCTCCCCGTTCTCGTAAAATAAGCGGTTTCTTTAAGTCACAGGCAAGTTGAATCTGAGAAAAGAAGGGAAGATCATACCACATACTTTGTACTTTTGTCTTAAGGTAGGTAAAATAAATTATGTGTATTTACATACTTGTTTTTCAAACACTTCTCTTTGTACTTCAGGAGAAGAGAAATCTTTGCTGTAGTCTAGGCCACATTCTCCAATAGCAACACACTCAGGATTCATTGCAATTTCACGTAAATCTGCAAGGTAGCCAGTCTCCCATGATTTAGCATCATGAGGGTGCACACCTGCACAGAGTAAGTAGGAAAGAGATGTTAGCACTAAAATTAAGGGAATATAAATGCAATGAATGCATATGAAGCAACTTCAAATCATACCTGTTGAAGAATAGATGGTTCCAGGGTAAATTCTTGTCAGTCGTAAAGCTTCCTTACTTGTTCTAAGAGATGATCCAGTGACTAGAATCTTTGTCAGTCCTATAAAACATATTGGTCAAGGTCAAAACATGTAACTTTCATTAAAACCCTAACGCGTAACATGACCCTCTCTTGTTTTAGTGAAAATGAATACTTGTATATATGCACTTAACATGCGAACCATAACCTCAACCACTTACCAGCGTCCTTTGCTCGTTGAATCACCGAGTCGAGATCTTTACTAAACTTCTTGTTCGTGAGACCAGCCCCAACGTCCACCAGCAAGTAGTTGTCGAAACATTTTTGTAGATTTTCTGCTGACAAAACGTCATTGGGGCTGATGTCTGTAGTGCCAGCTGCCATCGTTCGTGAATCAGGGACGGGGAACGGGGACGGGACGGAGGGGCGGGACGCGGGCGGGGCGTCCGAGTGAGTGTGAGATCATGCAGGGGCCAGGCCAGGGGCCCAACGCAATGGGAGCGGGGCGGGGGAGAAGGGAGGGCAGCGTGGCTGTCCCCGCCCCTCCCCTCCCCTTCCCGCCTCCACCCAAACCCCAAAGCCCCTAAGTGTGTTTGTGTGCTTGCTTGTGCCTTCCTTGTTGTGTCGCCCGCGGGCCCAGCCCCAGCCGCAGCCCAGCACGTAAAGGCCCATCCGGCAAAGCAGGGTCAAAGGCCACTCCTTGCCTCTCGCGCGACAACACGGCCAGCACAACCCCCCGGCAACGAGCAACCCACCCCTTACGAAATGTAGCCTCACGCCGTGTAGCTAGCGCTTCCTCGAAATTATGTGTTTGTGGTGAGTCACGTTTTCACTTCTGAATGAAGCCTGTGGTAAAGTAGTGCGGGTGGTCCAGGGAGCTCAAACGGGCCTTACCTTGGGGCTTCGCGTCGGGCGTCGCCAACAGAGCTATGGTATGGTGTGGGCAAGGATGGACCCAGCAAGGGATTGCCTACCCGACGGGGGCAGCTATTTCTGAGCGTTGAGCGCAGGCGCATTGCACTTGACTATTTTGGCTTTGCACGAGAATCCTTATTGAAGGGTGTCTCCTCGAGTTTTCCCCCAGTGCAGCCGGAAATGGTTCTCATGGGCCTGTAGTAGCTAGAACCCAGAAGGGCCGGGAGCAGGCCGCGCGGTGCATTCAAACTTGCCCGCCACGCCGCGCGCACCGGGGCCGGCGCAGCGCTACCCCGCGCGCGACGCGACCGCCTGCATCTGCGCCGCGCTCCCCGCGACGGCCGCTAGATGGCGCCTGCGGTGGGGCCGCGACGCCGCCCTGGCGTCCACGCGCGCGCCGCCACGCGTCGCCGCCAGGGGCGCGGCGTTCGGGCCGCTGTGCCCTCGCCCCGCCCCGCCCCGCCACGCCCCGCTCGCGCCGTAAACAGAACGGGAGGCTAGCAGTAGACAGTGCGCTGCGCGGTGTGCGCCAGCTGAGCAGGCAAGGCAGGGCCGCGTCGCGTCGCGCCGCCCGACCGAGGCAGTTTGAGTGAACGCGAGTGCGCGACCTGGGAGTGCCCCTGGTGAGTTCCCTGTGTGTCGGAGGGCTTCGGCCCTTCGTGCAGCCGCGCCCGCCCCGCCCTGGGCGGCCCCGCGGCCGTGTCCGAGACGCGAAAAGCGGCCGTGAAGCGAGTGAGTGAGTGTGAGTGAGTGAGCGCCGCGCGCCCAGTCGCGCCGAGCCGTGGCGAGCAGGGAAGTGCTGCCCGTGAGGATATACTCCGCGCGCCGCCCCGCGCCGCCGCGCCCAGCCAGCTCCAGCGGTCGGTAAGTCACTGTGTG